TTTTGTGAGACAGGTCCAGTGACTCTAAGCTGGCCCTATTTGGCAATAAAAACAGAAAAGGGGGAAGTACCCCCAGAAAAGGGCTTTGCTACCTAAAGTATTTATAGGGGGGGTTCCTTTCCCAAAACACTAACTCCTCCCCCTTTTCCTCCCCCATCTTCCAGAAGCAGTAAATTTTGCCTTCCGTAATGGGATGTAATACTTTCATAATTGTTAAAAAAATTATTTTTTTTTTTGAATATTTTTTTTTGAACGATTAATTGTATTTTCATTAATTCTTATTTTGAAATTTGCATATTTTTTAATTTCGTGAAATTGGGGCCCAAATTTTCCCAAATTTTTTGAAAACCCCTTTTTTGGGGAGTTTAAAATTTGGGAAATTGCAGTTTCTTGTACTCAATTTATGAACAAATGGAGTTCTTAAGAAAAAAACAAGATTTGGTCAACTGGAAAAATGGGAAATTAGCCAAAAAAAGGCTCAAAATGGGCAAAATTTCCGATTCGGGAAAAATGCCCCCAGGTTTCAACTTCGCGAGAGCGAATTTTTCCCTAAGTTTTCCATAAATTTCTACTTTTTGGGGTGATTATCTCGGAAAAAATCTCTTTTATTTCATAAGAATTTTTTTTTTTTTTTTTTTTTTTTTTTTTTTTTTTTTTTTTTTTTTTTTTTATTTTGCGACAAACCAGGAACAACCTCAGGATTTGGGGGTTTCGACAATAAAGGGTTAATAGATTGCTGTTTGGTCTTTTTTTTTCCTGTCAATGTGAGTGGAATCAACAAAACACTTCTCAAAACCCGAGATCCAGTAACCTACTTCTTTTATTTCGTCATGATAAGTAACCCCTTTTTTTGATCACCTTGACTGGGATAATTTTTTACTGTTTGCTTGGTTTTTTAAACATGGAAAATGAGGCTGCAACTATTTACTGCATTTATATTTTTCTTGCTCAGTTTTTTTTCACTTGGGGTGCAAAGTGCACGAACTGGGTTTTCCAAGTTGTTGTTCCACTCTTTCAAAAGCTTCCTCAAAACCTTTTTTATTAAAGAGTTTTTTTGTTCTTGTGGCTATCTATGCTGTTTGGAGGTTTTTGGGCAAAATTAGCATTCCAGAGGTGATAAATGGTTTCAAGACTAGGATTTTGTTCTCAGGGGTGTCATCCTGGGTCTTGTTTAGTTAGCATTTCCCAAAGATTCAATTTTTTCCCCTAAATTAAGAGTAGATGTATGATTTAAAGGGGTGTCTGATTTTGGGGCCCCCCTGAGAGATTTTGCTGGTAGGCTAAAATTTTGGAAGGAAAGGGGAGAGTGAGGGGGGGGCAGTCATGTTGGTGTTATTGTTGTTAGTCACCTTGGCAGTGGTGAGAGGGGGGGTTTAGAGGAGTTGGCATCCCTGAAGACAAGGAATAGTCATTTTTTGGTGTTTTCTTCGGGGTTCTTGGTCCTGTTTCCTCTAGATTTCTTCATAGTAATACAGGGTAGTAAAAGTTTTGTAATTTTAAGGGGAAAAAATATTTATACTAAGCTTTTGGGATTTTCATCGGGGAGGGGGGTGGGGCTTTTTGGGGTTTGAGGGGGGGAGTCTTCCTTTGATCATCAATATTTTGCTTGTAGGTTTCACTGTTGGTAAACTTGGGTCATTTTGGGTGCTGCTTGGTTTTGCGTTTGCTTTCAACTAGGTGATCAAAGGAGCATTGGGAGGCCCTCGGTTGTTTGGGGAAAAATAAGGAGCTTGGAAGCCGCTGCCACTGCCCGCTTCCTCCTACCCTCCCGCGTGATTAGGTCCATTTTTGCATTTTCTTCCCCAAAAAAGTGTTTTTTTCACAATTGAACCTTGTTGGGTTGGAATTTTTTATCCGAAATGTTTTGAAATTCCTGCACAAATTTTTTCATCTGCATGTTTGTCTGAATGGACCCCTCTCAAACCCTGCTTTTTAACACTGTGTAATCCCCTTCGCTTTTGAATTTTTCAACCAACCCCCTTTCGGCCTTAAATCCCCCAAATCCACTTGTTGCAGGCATTTTCTTTTTGGATTGTCATGCAGTGCTTGCCTTTTCACAAATTACAACTGCCACACATATCTCCCGCTAACTGTTTCTCTGGATCCCCCAACAATAATTTTTTCCACATCTTTAATTTTTTGGGGGGCTCTGTTTTTTATTGCATTCACCCCTTTCGCAACATCACTTCCACGATTTCTTTTCTTTTCCACAAAAGGAGCTGATGTTGATGGGGCCCACCTGTACACCTGCCAGTTCAGCTTGTGATACGTGGGACCCCCCGACCACAAAATTTAAAACCGTTCCGAGGGCTCATCTTTAGGGCAAAATTATCGTTAGCAGTTTAAATTTTTTCCCCTAAGAAAAAATGGAAATCAAATTTTCCCGGGAAAACCTCATAAGATGAAAACAAAAAATTTTACCAATGAAATATAAATTTAAAAAATAGAATAATTAAAAAGTAACAACAGAACAATAGATTAAAAACAAAAGTAATTACACTTACCTTAATAAGATTGGAGATTGATGGGATGGGGGGGGAAGGTGGAGGTGATTTTAAAGGGGAAAACCCCCAAGGACTTTAGGGGCAACCTTTTGGGGCATTGTTTTTTTTTCCAACACCTGGGGAATTTCAGAGTGATCACCAATAAAGGCTTTTTACTTTGCAATACCACTAGCATTTGCACACATCAAAAATAAGCCTGTCTTTCATAGGCTTATATCCTGGGAGTGCCTTTTCCTCCTGAGTAATGTAGGTCCTGCTTGGCATTTTCTTCCAAAACAGGCCTGTTTCGTCACAATTAAACACTTGTTGAGGTTTCAATTCTTCACTGTCTATGTACTCCTTGAATTCCTGCACATATTTTTCAGTTGCTTTTTGGTCCAAACTGGCAGCCTCACCATGCCTTATCACACTATGTATGCCACTACGCTTCTTAAATCTCTCAAACCAACCTTTGCTGGCCTTAAATTCACTCACATCACCACTAGTTGCAGGCATTTTTCTAATTAAATCGTCATGCAACTTCCTAGCCTTTTCACATATGATCGCTTGAGAGATGCTATCTCCTGCTATCTTTTTTCGTTTATCCACACCAATAACAGTCTCTCAACATCTTCTATCACTTGCGATCTCAGTTTCGAAAACATAGTTGCACCTTTGACAAAAACAGCTTCCTTGATTGCTGTTTTCTTGCCCACAATAGTAGCGATGGTTGATTGGGGTTTTGTGTACAACCTGGCCAGCTCGGAGACAAGCACTCCACTTTCATACTTAGCAATGATCTCTTTCTTCATATCCATAGTAATTCTCACCCTTTTTGCTGTAGGGTTGGCACTAAAAGCTTTCTTGGGGCCCATGGTGACTTATTTTGCAGGTGCAATCATTAAAAATGCTGTGATAATATGAAATGTTCCGATTGTATGTTTGGATGGGACTGCGGTGGCTGGCTGGCTTGTAAACACTGGCCACAAGTGGACGCGTCTCGGACGGAACGAATCTCGTTGGTCGAGTTTTTTAGCGCTAGTCGAGGCAAAATTTTTGCGTTAAAATGTATCACTAGTCGGATTTAACGTTAGACGATGCCAGCGTTGGTCGAGGGTCCACTGTACGACTATCGTATTTTTGTATGATTTCTTTTTCATTTCTACAGTGTTCCTCGCTTTGTTTATCAAAGGACTGGCTCTAGGAGCTTTTTTGGGGCCATGGTGGCCTATTTAGCAGCCACACACAATAAACAAGTGCCCAAAAAATGGATTATTACGATATGTTTTGTATGACTGGCAGGATATGTTCACTCACTGAGAAGCAATGCGACACTGCCTGAGAATGCGTGTGGGAGGCGGCTTTGTCTGCGCCCTGGGCACTGGACAGGTTCCGTACCATGAATGAAAATGGAACCGTCATTTTGACGAAAAAAGTCGGGGAAAACAGAAATCGGCGATAACGAAGATCAACGGAAAGGGAGGGGCCACTGTATTTATAAGCAAATCAATACTCAACATTATTTTGGCAAAAGTTGTATATATATTCCTCAAATTATGTTAAGCCACTCTAGTAAGAAGATAAAGTTTAAAAAAGTAAATTTTAGTTTACTTTTTAACATTTGGTCATGTTTCCATGTACGTAATTTGATTACCAATTACAGGCAGTTAGGCAAGGTACAGATGATGTGTGTTTGGAATGGAACTTTGCTTTCAGTTCATTTCAAAAGTTTTTGATGAAATTCATGTTAGTGCTGTTTCCTGGCTGCTGGATAACATTGATATTGTTTTCTTTTAACCATATAATGACCTGTTTTTCATTTGCAGAGTCTATACAGTATTTCACATTTAATTTTTTTATGAATAAGACATGTGCAACACTTGTGTATATTTAGTGAGAGAAGTTTTGCCCACCAAAAGTTTTCTTGCTTTTTAGCTTTTTAACACTCCAGCCATCTCCTTCTGAGGTAGGGGCGACCCAACAAAGAAGACAACACATTCACTATCACTCCTTTAATCACTGTCTTGCCAGAAGGACACAAACATCACAGTTTGGTTGACCCTCTTTTCAACATCCCCACTCTTTCTTCAGAGTACAGGCACTTTACTTCTCACTCCAGTACTCAAGTCTTGCTAACCAGTTTCCCTGAGTCCCTTCATAAATGTTACCATGCTCACATCAGCAGCAAGTCAGACCATAAGAACCATTTGTCTCCACTCACTCCTAGCTGACACGTTCACACATGCCTGTTGAATGTCCAATACCCTAGCACTCGAAGCCTCCTTTACCCCCCTCCCCATTAATCATTAGATTTATTAGATTTATCGCCCCCTGGTGGGCGAAACAACAATCGATAAAGATACCCAAGTTCTGCATGTGTCTTATGCATCCACTTGTTGGCATTATATACCTTTGATTCCAGTATCTTTTTTGTATCATCACTTATATATGTGCAAAGCATATTACCTATAAACTATATAATAACTGTGACCTGGAGTAACCAGTTACCTTTTCTAGGTGTGCAATGAGTGTGATAGGGAGGAGCGGCTTCTGCTGTGTGATGGCTGCGACTTGGGGTACCACCTGGAGTGTCTTAACCCTCCCCTCACTCAAGTACCAGTGGAAGAGTGGTTTTGTCCAGGCTGTGTTGATGTCAATATCCCAAGCACAGTAAGTAGTGGAACTCAGTATTGTCATACTATATAATTAATCTAAGATATTTTTTAAGCACAATATTTTTGTATGTTGAGGAGGCTTGAACAGACACACTCAGCTAAAACTAACAGTTTTTCCATGAAGAACTCCAAATTATGAATAAGTTGCATTTGTAACTTAGATGTTCATAACTCAGAACCTATTATTCTCAGAGTAGTTATATTCTACCCAAATAAAGGAAAACCTTGGATACAGTTCTTTGTCAATGGCAAATAATATCAAGGGCAAGTGTTATCTTACCACGGTTTTATCGTTGGTGATGTTATATAAGCAGCTGTAACAGTATCACACTATAGATATGTACAATACAAGCTGCCTCCATGTCATCCAGTGCAATTATTAAAGTTACATTTCTTAACTCATCTCTACCAAACCAATATGAGTTCACCACACATGTGTAAACATATATAACAAATCAGTACTTTTTATTAAAAACAACTAAGGAAAATAATTTTTGGTACTGTAATAATCTGTAAGTAATTGCTTGTTGGAACAGAACTATGCTTGTCTTGTCTTATCTTCAGTAATTGATCATAAATGCACTGTGTGCTGCAGGAATTTTTTTATACTGCACACACTGACCACATAGACCCATAAATGGAGAGTTAGAGGTATTGGGAAGATGGAGGGAATATTTTGAGGAATTGTTAAATGTTGATGAAGATAGGGAAGCTGTGATTTCGTGTTTAGTTCGTGAGGCAGTAGGTAAAATGAATGGGGGTAAGGCAGCCGGGATTGATGGGATAAAGATAGAAATGTTAAAAGCAGGTGGGGATATAGTTTTGGAGTGGTTGGTGCAATTATTTAATAAATGTATGGAAGAGGGTAAGGTACCTAGGGATTGGCAGAGAGCATGCATAGTTCCTTTGTATAAAGGCAAAGGGGACGAAAGAGAGTGCAAAAATTATAGGGGGATAAGTCTGTTGAGTATACCTGGTAAAGTGTATGGTAGAGTTATTATTGAAAGAATTAAGAGTAAGACGGAGAATAGGATAGCAGATGAACAAGGAGGCTTTAGGAAAGGTAGGGGGTGTGTGGACCAGGTGTTTACAGTGAAACATATAAGTGAACAGTATTTAGATAAGGCTAAAGAGGTCTTTGTGGCATTTATGGATTTGGAAGAGGCGTATGACAGGGTGGATAGGGGGGCAATGTGGCAGATGTTGCAGGTGTATGGTGTAGGAGGTAGGTTACTGAAAGCAGTGAAGAGTTTTTACGAGGATAGTGAGGCTCAAGTTAGAGTATGTAGGAAAGAGGGAAATTATTTCCCAGTAAAAGTAGGCCTTAGACAAGGATGTGTGATGTCACCGTGGTTGTTTAATATATTTATAGATGGGGTTGTAAGGAAGTAAATGCGAGGGTCTTGGCAAGAGGCGTGGAGTTAAAAGATAAATAATCAAACATAAAGTGGGAGTTGTCACATTTGCTCTTTGCTGATGACACTGTGCTCTTGGGAGATTCTGAAGAGAAGTTACAGAGATTGGTGGATGAATTTGGTAGGGTGTGCAAAAGAAGAAAATTAAAAGTGAATACAGGAAAGAGTAAGGTTATGAGGATAACAAAAAGATTAGGTGATGAAAGATTGGATATCAGATTGGAGGGAGAGAGTATGGAGGAGGTGAATGTATTCAGATATTTGGGAGTGGACGTGTCAGTGGATGGGTCTATGAAAGATGAGGTGAATCATAGAATTGATGAGGGGAAAAGGGTGAGTGGTGCACTTAGGAGTCTGTGGAGACAAAGAACTTTGTCCTTGGAGGCAAAGAGGGGAATGTATGAGAGTATAGTTTTACCAACGCTCTTATATGGGTGTGAAGCATGGGTGATGAATGTTGCAGCGAAGAGAAGGCTGGAGGCAGTGGAGATGTCATGTCTGAGGGCAATGTGTGGTGTGAATATAATGCAGAGAATTTGTAGTTTGGAAGTTAGGAGGAGGTGCGGGATTACTAAAACTGTTGTCCAGAGGGCTGAGGAAGGATTGTTGAGGTGGTTTGGACATGTAGAGAGAATGGAGCGAAACAGAATGACTTCAAGAGTGTATCAGTCTGTAGTGGAAGGAAGGCGGGGTAGGGGTCGGCCTAGGAAAGGTTGGAGGGAGGGGGTAAAGGAGGTTTTGTGTGCGAGGGGCTTGGACTTCCAGCAGGCATGCGTGAGCGTGTTTGATAGGAGTGAATGGAGACAAATGGTTTTTAATACTTGACGTGCTGTTGGAGTGTGAGCAAAGTAACACTTATGAAGGGGTTCAGGGAAACCGGCAGGCCGGACTTGAGTCCTGGAGATGGCTATGCTATGCTATGATTCTAGGTAAGACCCCAAGAAGGGGTGAGCGGGGAAGACTGGACAGACGAAGAGTAGATCTTGAGAGGAGTGTCCTTAGTCTTAGAGAAAGAGCCAGGGCTTAACCCAGCAGCAGAGCTCAATGTGAAGGAATTTGCAGGAAGGAGCTTGAGAGTCAGGATACACGGGCAAGCTTGAATGGGAGCACGCTGTGTGCATCTCATCAGCGCGAGGTGTTGACTGGCTTGTGATTGGTGGAGACTGGCGAGAGGCGAGAGGCAGGCAGGAGACAGCAGCTAGTGATCACGTGACTTCTTATGTGCGATCATACCACGTAGTGATTGATCCGTTTGTAATTCTTCTATATGCTGATTTTGAGAGCATGACAGGTTTTACCTTGCGCAGTTTGTCATTGCCTAGGTCTTATAGTAAGGCGTTGATTGTATGTGGGTCGGTTCCTGGTGCAACAGTGTACTTGATGCGGCCATCTCCTATGCTGTATATAGCTTGGCCTGCATGCACGGTGATGAATTCTGGACTGCATGTGTACAGGGTGATAGGTGCTGTATTTTTGAGGTTCAGGTCTTCTCTCGTTGTTTCTAGTGGGTGTGTAGTTTCTTGTGGACGACTCACAGGTGGATGTAATTTAGCTTTTTTTGCAATTGGTGACTGAGATGGAGATTCGAGGTTTAGGTCGGCAGAGGTGGCGGCGGTCTCGGGTAGATCAGGTGAGGCTGCTGATTGGTCGGTGGCTGCGGTGGAGTTTGTTGTTGTTGTTGATGTATCTTGCGTTGTATCTTGTGTTGTGGTTATTGGAGTTGTAATGTTTTCTGGTGCTTGGGTGAGCTTGATTATGTCAGCAGAAGGTGGAGAGTCTGGGAAGGTGAATGCTGGCATGTTATTTAGTCTGAAGAATTCATTGATGGTAGTGTTGAAGGAGCCTGGTGCTGCCATGTTGTGCATGTGAGCATACAGTAAGCAGTACTGTATTTTTGTTGAGTCACATGCAGGAGTGGAGATACTGGTGGTGGAGAGCTGGGATGATTTCAGGAGTTTGGTGGTGTCGGCCTGCAGTTTTGTGATAGCTGCATACGTGGGTGATCTTAATGGAGACTTCTTCTGATCTGCTTCTATGTTCTTTTTGATGATATCACGACGGGTAGGACATTTTTCTGCGAGAGTGTGGTGGTTATTCTTGCAGTTTAGACACTTGAGAGAAGCGGTGGAAGAGCATGTCCTAGAGTCGTGACCCTCATTACCACAGGTGGAACAGAATTTCTTGTCTTTTGTAGGGCAGTCTTTTGTTGAGTGGAGGTAAGAGAAACAGGTCCAGCATTGAGAGACGTGGTGGTAACGTTCAGCTTCAATGTTGCAGGCGTTGATGAAATAATAGTAGATGGCTAGTCCCTCAGCCATGGCTTGGGAAGCCATTGTGACGTCAGTAAAGGTGATCTTGAGCATTGAAGAGGCCGTGGGAATCTTGTTAATGTTTTCCACGGTGGCCCAAGGGTTCTGGTCTTCAACAGATTGTTTGAGGTCTTCGATGGTCTGAGAAGTGATCAGCTTGTCCAGGCGCTTCAGAAAGACAGTCCTCTTAGCCCTTAAGGCTGGAGAGGACATGATTCTGTAGCCACATTCTTGTAGTGTAGTCAGGGCAGTTCCAGTCAGTAGTTTCTCGGCCTCCACATCATCCTCACAGACAATGATGAAGGATTCTTGGAGGGAAAGGATCGTGTTAACCTTGATGTTCAAGCCCCTGACAGTTACAACAAGGGCAAGCTTGGTGGAGTCGTTGATCAAACCACTTGTAGGTTTAATCTTGACTCTGTTGGAGTAACTCATCTTGAGATCTTGATGTGGGTAATCGGCGAGGTAGAGGTTCCCCTCCCCAACGGGGATCGCAGGGACACTACTTGAGGAGCGACTGTGACTTGCCAGTAGCAAGGCCAGCAGTGCAATGATGTCCCAGTGATGGAGTGAATGATGGTGAAAGTTTTTCTTTTTCGGGCCACCCTGCCTTGGTGGGAATTGGCCAGTGTGATAATAATAAAAAAAGTTTTTAAATTTTCAGTGGTTGTAGCTTGTTTTTTTTTCCAACAAACTGGCTGTATCTCACTGAGGCAGGGTGACCTAAAAAAAAAAAAAAAAAGCTTTGTAAATTTAGAAATTTATACAGGAGAAGAGGTTACTAGCCCCTTGTTCCCAGCATTTTAGTCGCTTCTTATGACACGCATGTTTTATGGAGGAAGAATTCTTTTCCAATTCCCCATGGAAAAGCTCCTGATACAGTGGAACCTGGTTTCAGATGTCGATTCAACAACCAAAATGGATGATAACCAAAGCAATTTTTCCTATAAAGAATGATGTAGAGAGAATTAATCCATTCCAGACTCCAAATGACAATATAATAATTTATTAAAAATGTACTGTGTACTACATAAAACTAAAAATGAATACTAAAAGAAGCTAACTGAAATACTGTACAGTAAATGAAAATCTAACCCTTTCAGGGTTAATGCTGTACTAGTATGGCTTGCACGCCAGGGTTGGTGCCATACTAGTACGCATAAATTCTAGCGCCTTCAAATCTAGCGAGAGAAATCTGGTAGGCCTACATATGAAAGAATAGGTCTATGTGGTCGGTGTGCGCAGTATAAAAAAATTCCTGCAGCACACAG